TTTAACAGTTAATAAATCCACTCCTGTATCTGCAAGCCACGACGCAGACGATCTACGGAAACAATGTCCAGTGTATTGTTGTGGATTTGGATGACTTAGGAACAATGCTATTTTATACGGAATTTTCCCTAAAGTATTAATGCCAACGGGTTGCTTAATACATTTTCCATTTCTGTACCCCACAAAAAATCGAGTATGTTATGTGTTGCTTGGCCGCATAGCTATATATCTTCGAACAATTTCCACCATATTTATTCCTTCAACATTCCTTTTCGTTATAAAGAAATCTCGTGATATCTTTGTTTTCGTAAATGGAATAATGACATGAATGCATTGTCCTTCATCTTTAACATTTTGCAGCTGCAGATTTGTCAACTCGATATGCCGGTAGGCTCCCGCAAATCCCACTATCAATGAAACTTTTGTCAGGAAATAAGTTTTATCATCGGCTTCCAACAAAAAACGAGCTATGTCTTCTTTTCTTAAAATTCTCGATTTTTTTGACCGAAATCCTTCCGATTTTTGTTTTTAGAAATGCAATTAAATGGACGTACTTACTAATATCTGTATTTTTCTTCACTGGTATAACTGAACTTAGCATGGAATAATATACCCAAAGTGATGAAGCCTTCCTATGTTTTGAAAGATGTTCAAAATATCAGGGGAACCTTTTCGTTACTACTATTCTTGATTCCTTTCCCTTTACACCAATCTTCAAGTTTTACATAGGCTTGCTCGTACGTTTGTCTCGATTTTTCGAGAAGTAGGGAATCGACAACGTTTTGCGCAATGCCTTCAATATCCGAAAGAACACTTTCAGAATCAGAATCACCCATATTAATATTATTTTTTGTTTTTTGCTAAAACTGAACGTTTAACACAAAATTGAACATCAATAATTGAGTTGTCAAAGTCAAAATGGAAACAATCAACAAGCACGATTACCACGGCGTCGACTAATATGGGCACCTGATAATTTTGAATTTTAATTTTTATAAGGATATCTCTGATATTTTAAATTAAATCAAATCTCTTTGGATCATCTCTCTTGTCGCATCGTAGATTAAATTTTGAATGATACACGTTCGATACTAACTACCCGTCCCGAAAATACCCGTCCCATTTTTTTCACAGGGTGTTTTGAATTTATTGCAAAAAACGAAGTTTTGATTTACCCTGGTATAAATTCACCTAACCGAAATATATAATCCATTAAAATAATAAAAAAATAATGTCAACTAATATCATAATAATTATAAAAATCGGATAACAAATATTGAAAAGTTATAAAACATCAAAATTAGTCAAAATTTTATGGTGGCCGGAATTTTGTGCCGGGAATGTATTTTTAACATAATTTTTATTATAAATATTGTTGGATATTGTATATCGCTATTAGAATGGTGTATGCAGATTTAACACTTCTTTCATTATATAGAAGAACTGTACACAGTGGGCCAAATTAGACACTGTTAAAGGGAAACACCCTTTTCATATAAATTAGGCAGGAGCGCTTTATGGTGTATTGGTACCCTAGGCACCATTTATTTTGCCGCCCCCTTCAACTAACAAAAATACCAGTAATTTGTAAACCCTTAATATTCACAATAAATCTTGCCCCAAAGACGATTCATTTCCCATTTAAATTACTTGGGAATCTGCCACTTTTTGCAAATATTTCTTTTTCTCTCGGTCTTGTTCTCTCGCAGTCATGACAATCATATATTCTTTTACAGAATTGAACGCTCTACAAAAAAGGTCCCTTACAATTTTACGACAAAGCTACTCCTTCAAAAGTTATTCACGGTTAAAATTAACCACTCGGTAAATTCCTAATTTTTTCAATTTTTTTGAGAAAATTATGATTATTTTGAAAAATGTAATCTATTTGAAAAAAGAAAAACAATTTTCATGATACCGTGATAAACAATTTTCAATCATGAAAAACAATTAAATGCATGGTAGGTAGTTAATTTTAATATTTATTATATAGTATCAGGTCGAAAAGGGTTGAAGCTTTAAAAGTGAATAATGACGAAGAGTTCGATAGTTCTAACCGCTGCATTTTTAATCAGGATTGTTTTAAATGGTTTATAAATAAAAGCCTTGATTATTTCATAAATTCAAATGCGTTACAATTTTTTACACGGTTTAATATTGATACAAGTTTGAATTGATTGATACAACAGAAAGAGCTGTTAAAATGTCAGAAGAATACATTAATATTTTATATAGAAGTGAAGATGAAAATCAATATGTGATTCAGACTGTAAGCGCGTATAAGAAGAAATATCAAAATCCAACTAAAGAATGTTTAGTTCAAAAAATAAATGAGCTATACTTAAATGGTTTAAACTTGATTAGAAGATGAAGATTTCTTAATTTTAGGCTTTTAACCCAACCTTAACACTATGAGAATTGTATATTTTTACAGCAATAAATACATTTTTTCAAAAATAATCATAATTTTGTCAAAAGAGTTGGAAAATTTAGGAATTTACCGAGTGGTTAATTTTAACCGTGAATAACTTTTGAAGGAGTAGGTTTATCGAAAAATTGTAAAAGACCTTTTTTGTAGAACGTTCAGTTCTGTAGAATATATGTATGATTGTCATGGCTGGCGAGAGAACAAGATCGAGAGAAAAAAAAATTGAAAAAAGTGGCAAATTCCCATGTAATTTTAAGGTACATTCAGGCTGAGAGCGTCGACCGTCGCGTCGCGTTTGCGTCGCGTTTGCGTCGCGTCCGCCCCATTGAACTCGAACCCCGACGCTCAGCGGACGCTATCGCTAGCGCAACGCCAAACGCGACGCTGTCTGCCTGAACGGTCTAATTTAAGTTAAGTGAATTGATTCCATTTCGTCACGCGGACGCGACGCAAACGCGACGCGACCCTCGACGCTCTCAGCCTGAATGTACCTTTAAATGGGAAATGAATCGTCTTTGGGGCAAGGTTTATTGTGAATATTAAGGGTTTACAATGGTCTCTTATTTTTTTAGACAATAAACTAAAAAATTTAGAGGGCCTCGTGAGAGAAATGATCAACTTGATCAGCAGCCAAATGAATTCCTGTGGGGAAAGAAACATTCTTAATTCCTGTCATAAATAGACATGGCATCATATCTCTTTCACATTCACAACTTCTGTGGCTTTACTCTTCAAAGTGGTATTAGTCATATTCGCATAAAGTTACGTAAAAAGTCCGTCCGAAGAAAACCGCTCAAAAATGGAGGATTGAGGATATTCTCTCCGATGTAGGTACGTTGAGGAGGGTAATGGGTCGGTACAAACTCGCTACTCGGTATTAGAGAACGAACAAAGGGTAGTTTTTGACGTGCGGAGGCGGCATATTACCGCAACCGGCACGCTAGACAACGGTAATGGTGTTAAGGAACTTTCGTGCAAAACGGTTTGTATGTTGGCGAGGGATGGGTTTGATACTTGAATGGGGTGTGAAGAGATGAGGGATCTTATATGTACATATGCGGTTGAATGCATGTATATAAGGGTGTTTCACATTGAATCTACTCTTTATTATACTGCTAAAGAGTGGTGGCTTGCTACCGTGTATATTTTAATATTGAACAAGGTTTACGTCAATTGAATTGCTCTCTCACACAATGTTTAACATAGCTGACAATGTTAAACTAAAGTTAACCATATTTTTCTTAGATTGGATAAAACAAAAAGGTTCTGTGAGAAAAGTGAATTGAAATATTATATGGAATTTGTGATGGGGTGTTCTTTGTTGAAAAAAATATATATTACAAATTATTTATATTAATTACGAATTGTTTTACTTTTAATCGAATACACACTGGATCAGAGCTTATATCAATATTAAGTATCAAACACATCATATATTTTTTTATTCTAGTAAAACTGAATAAGCCTGAGTGTTTCGCCACTGAATAAAGATAGAATTGAGAAGATTTACATATATACAGACTTGTTTCTGTGGTATCAAGGTAAGTCTTCTGTTCTTTATACAGAGTATTTCATAATACGCCCAAATTCTGGGGTATACACCAGCAAAAATAAAAGTTAATATACCAGCATTTGTGCAAGAAGCCAACTGCCTTTTGGCAGTGGCAGTAGATTGCAACCCCTTCTTTTTACCGATTTCACAACTTATTAAAAAAAAACGTTAAAATAACCAAAAAGAATTCATGTCCTCAGTTGTGAATACATTGCCTTCAAGAATGCCATTTAAACGAGAACAACACAATGTGTGTACAAGTAGCCATATATATCTTCAAATATGGATGGAATATAACATTTATCAACAATTCCCACCTAAGTTCTTAACGACTTTTTCGACTAAATTAGGAAGGAACATGTTATTCGCCGTTCCGGTGAAACAATGACGTAACTGCAAATTTTTGAAATTTTGACTTATCAGCGCCATCACTTTCAAAATTAATGCCTCTATACGGATAAACAACGACGTAAATGTACTACCACCCCCGGCCACAAGATGGCAGTTACGTCGTTATTCGAATATTTACGTTTGCTCCCTTCCTCTCAGAATTACAATGACATTTGATTCAGTTGTGTTTGAAACTTCATGGGAGATGTTACTGTTTCCGTAGAAAAACGACGTAATTGCAAGATAAGACGAAATTTTGGATATCTGTGTTGGCGACTTCGGAAGAATAACGACGTAAGTGTACATTGTGTCATTTTTATTTCAAATATTAATATTTTTGTGTGTTATAACTGCGCTTTATATTATTGCCTTAAAATTTATCTTTTCCAATGTCATAAATGTACTTTCTGACATTTTTTTTTAGAATTTATAAGTCATAGATTAATTTTATGACAGTTAATAATTTCTAATATAAATAATGTATAATTGTTTTTTTAATTATTTGAATACCGACAAATTAGTCGACTTACGTACTTACATACATAATTTGGCATCAGTACTTTTCGGCTGCAACTTTATGTTTTACTTTGTTGCAGAAGCAGTTAGAAGTTACGAGTTTTGGCGCAGCTAATAATAAATTCTAGTGTTACAAAGATGGGTTTAAGAGCCGAAAAGATAGTAAATCTTGCTCTTTCTTTAGTTGAAAATCAAGGTGATTTAACTACTATTTCTGAAATGGCTGTATGTTCAGCTTCAAATTCTGATTCGGAAGTTATTTCTGCAAAGCCTGGATGTTCAGCTCCAAGTCCTGCAGTATCTACGTTTCTTGATATTTCTAACACTTATGTTGTAGAAAAAGAGGGCCCAACAAAACTTAGATTAAAAAAATATCCTAAAAATATTTACTGTGATGATGCGAGTCCAAAAAGTGATTTTTCTGCAGGTTCAAGCGACAATTACGAGCCCTCAAGCGATGAAGAATCGTCAAACTCAGAACCTGGACAAGTTGGTCAAAACTTACCTAACTTTTTAGAAACTACAGAAGGTGAAGAAAATTCTCCAACTCCTAAGAAAGGCAAAAAAAGATTATGCAGAACTGAAAATTGGACAAGCGTAAAAGCAAAAAGATTGAAGAACAGCGGAAAAAGTTATAAATCTAGAACCGGAAAAGTGATGCCGGCCAAAGTGATGGGTCCACCTTGTCCAGAAAAATGTATACTTGGATGTTCAAAAAAGGTTTCCGAAAATGACAGAGCTCAGCTTTTTAAGGAATATTGGGAGATGTCCTCATTACAGAGGCAGCGAGATTTCTTAGGTTTATGTATTGAACAACTTCAAGTTAAATATAGACGAATCACCGCTGGAGAGCCTCGGAAGCCAAATTGTGCCTTTTTTCTTGTAGTTAATGGAAATAAAATTCGCGTATGTAAAGCTTTTTTAATTGGTACTCTTGGAATAACGGAAAGAAAACTGCGAACAGTTATCACATCCAGAGTATCAGGTAATGGAATTGTGGTTGAAGACAAAAGAGGAAAACATGGCAAACATAGAAAGGCGGACGAAGAAATAGTAAAATCTGTGCGGGATCACATCGATGGTATTCCAAGGACTGAGAGCCATTACGTCCGGAAGGAGACTACACGGGAATTTATAGACGGAGGCCTCACTATTGCTGAATTACATAGGCACTATTCAAGCGGAAGATCTTCTGTGTCCAAAACAGCTGCGACCTATGACATGTATGCGAGAATATTCAATACAGAATATAATATTGGATTCTTTATACCACGAAAAGACCAGTGTGACCTTTGTGAGGCGTATAAAAATTCAGTTGGTGATGATAAGCAAGTTTTTGAAAATAAATATCATGAACATTTAGAAGAAAAAGAATTAAGCAGAGCAGAAAAAGATAAAGATAAAGAAAGAGCCAAAAACAAAGAAGTTACGTTAGCCGTGTATGATCTACAGGCCGTATTACCTGTTCCGACTGGACAAACATCTGCTTTTTTTTATAAAAGTCGCCTTAACTGTTACAATTTCACCGTAAGTTAAAAAATATCATTGGCGATAATTTTTAATTTTGTAAATTTTGCAGGTATCAGAAATTGGAAACGATAAATCTTATTGTTTTTTTTGGCACGAGGGATTAGGCTGCAGGGGTGTTACCGAAATTGGAACATGTGTGTTACTCTATCTTCAAGAACTCGCACAATTGAAGCCTGGTCTAGACGTGGTATTTTACTCCGACAACTGTGGGGGGCAACAAAAGAATAAGTATTTTGTGAAATGCACGAATGCACTAGTAACTACTGTTTTTTAAACTTTAATTTTATTTTTAGATTTATGATCGCAGCATATTTATATGCAGTGAGAGCGTATAATATTAATTCGATTACTCACAAATATCTGGTTCGAGGTCACACACAGAACGAGGGCGACGTTGTACATAGTATTATAGAAAAAAATGTAAAAAGGGCCAAAAACTCGGGACCAATTTATGTTCCCGAGCAATATGTCTCGCTCATAAGGAATTCCAAAAAAAAAGGAAATCCTCTTGTTGTTAAGGAAATGACCTTCAGTGACTTCTTTGATCTCAAAGCTTTACATGCGGAAATCGCTCCTAGCTTATTAAAGAATATTGTCGGACAGGAATTTAAAATTAGTGATGTAAGACTACTTCATTTTGAAAAAGGCCGCGAGGTATTCTATTAGAAAACAAGTTTCAAACAACAGGAGTGGGACACTGTAGATTTTAAACCTAAGAAAAGACGTAGTGTTGAAGCCCATCCTATAAAGGAAATTGTAATGAAACCTGCTTACACCAAAAAAATTCCATTATCAGATAATAAAAAGAAGGATTTAAAAAGTTTGGTGGATGGTAAAATTATTCCCGAGTTTTATAAACATTTTTTTGATTCTGTTGTCTGTTAAATTTTCTTTTAGATCATACTTTGTTCTTGTTTGTTCTTGTTAGAAATATTTTTCTGTTATTTTTTGTCTTAAAGAATTCGTACCTGACTATTAAACTTCAGTTGAATGTACTTTTAAAACATACCGAATAAAAGTTTATTGACACAAGTGCTGCATTTTCATACAAATTTTTGGCTAAATAATGACGCAATTACAAAATCAATAGTAAAAGTAAATACTGCCCAATTCAAATTTTTGTCAGTTAAAACTATTCATACTTAACTTATAATTCCATAAAATTCATTACAAATAAGATGTATTTTTTTCTTTAAAACTTAATTAACAATAAATCACAATCGTTTTTCGGCTCTCCTGTAAACTTTATAATTTTGCAGTTGCGTCATTGTTTTACCGGAACGGCGTTATGTTCTTTCCAGGAAATCATTTGATGGTCAAACATCAACAAAATATTCCTTATGTTTCAACTAAATTTTCTCGAAAATAAAGACATAATTTAAAATTCCGTTGGAATACGGAAATAGATTGAAGTTTTGTGATTAGAGTGATATATAATTTATTAGGTTTTGTAACAAATTACTTGCTATTCTGTGGCAAATGCTGAAGCTCTGCTAACCTTAATCAAGCATTAATCAAAGTGTGTTTGGAATTTTAGGTGTGGCTTAACACGACAGGATCGGTCTAAACCTTAGGTTAGATTTCTGAAATATAATATACAGGGTGGTCCGAACTGTATTCCGGAAACTTAAAATAAGTAAAAATGTTCGTATAGATGTATGTCCAAAAATGCTTAGTTTCGGTGATACAGGGTGTAGAAGTTTCATTTTTATTTCGATTTTTTCCAAATAATTTCTGAAGTAACGTCAACATTTGGATGAAAATTGGCGTCTGGGAGTTTTTTGACATGAGAAATTTGATTTTGATGTCAATATGACTCCTACTAGTAGAGGGCGCCACCTACAATTTTTTTAACTGGTTTGAAGAGTAATAACTTTTTTTCCGTACCTGTATAAGACTACTGAGTAAAAAAATATCAGGGATCAAAAAAAAATAGGGAATCATTCTAACCCTAATTATATTTTCACAAATTTAATATTAAAAAAGTAATCTAATAAATATCTGTATAATACTACTGAGTAAAAAAATACATTTTCGTATTTTTTTTACGTAAAAAAGGTCTCTTGGTAAAAATCGCTACGGGTAATGGTTTTCGAGATATTTGGAATCGAAATTATCAATACCTGTCATCACTGACCTAAATTAAACATGTTAACTAAATAGTTATTAGACTGAGATCATAAATTTGAAATGTTTTTGTACCAAAAATTCAACAAAAACTGTTTTATCATCATTTTTTTGCAGAAAAAATATGATTAATTTAAAAAAATTAAAATTTCCCAAATTTATTATTATTCAGTAAAATAACTATCTACTCAAAAGTGTTTATTTTTCGTTAATAATGGCATGTATTGACTATTTATTTTCATTCTAAATATCTTGAGATCGGTTGCTCGTAGCGATTTTTACAAAGAGATATTTTTTGCGTAAAAAATCACAGGGATGTATATTTTTTCCTTCGATAGTTTTATACAGGTACAGACAAAAAGTTATTACGCTTCAAAACAGTTAAAACACTTGTAGGTGGCGCCCTTTACCAGTAGGAGTCATATTGACATCAAAATCAAATTTCTCATGTAAAAAAACACCCATACACCAATTTTCATCTAAATATTGACGTTGCTTCAGAAATTATTTGGAAAAAATCGAATTAAAAATGAAATTTCTACACACTGTATCTCCGAAACTAAGCAATTTAGGACATACATTTATACGAACTTTTTTACCTATTTTTATCTGAAGAATATGCTGCCGAAATTTCCGGAATACATTCCGACCACCCTGTATATTTCTTTCGGCCACACACCCGCTTTACCCGACCCCTGAGAGCGACCCGAACAGTACAGCGTAATAGATTCTTAATCATCTGATTTTATGTAAATATTTATTAATACACAAAAAATAAATGCTAGACTTTGATAAAAAGTATGACTTTCGTGTAAAATTTTGTTTGTATTATTATACTATAAAACCAGAACAATTTCAAGATAATCAGGTCTCCTTAATTAAACTGAGGCCATCAACCTCTTTCCCTCCACCAATTCGCCTTCCAAAAATTAGCTCAAACCAAAAGGGGCCGAGAGAAAATTTGAAATAACTTACAGTTCATGTTCCGACACCCAAATGACGACTTAATTTACTTCCTCGCCCGCACCCCTCACCGGTTGCCTTCCGCCAATCGTCAACCACCCTTTTTTACTCGCCTAATTAACTAAATAGGCAATTAGTGCAATTAGAAGGCAGAGCAAGAATTGTCGGAGCGTGAGATAAAAGAGAGTGGCGTTCGGATGTAAATTGAGCGGGCGTAAAACGGCTTATTACTGATTGCCTGTCGCCGACATGTATTTATACTTGTTTCCGATGGAGACTTGTTCTGGTTAAAGAGGTGTTGAAGGTGTAATTGGTTACGCAATGATTTTCTACCAAGAGTGACGAGGGAAGATGAAAATATAATATTAGGATACCCTTGTTCATTGAAGGTAACTTTGACGGTTCACTGGAAACTAGTTCACTAGTTCACTGCAAACTTTAGTTTGGAAATAATGATAATTGGTTCCGGATTAGTAGTTCAATGCGAATTGTGGTTTCGGTCTTGAAAAAGAAACTGACTCTTTACATTCTACTTAGAGAAACTATAGAAAAACTGGGAAGAACTCAATGTACTCTGGAGCTGGAAGGGGGCTCAGATGAATTTTAATCGCCTGTATGGTTCGCCTTTCAATTAAAATAAAAATATTTTTTTTCATTCATTCATCACAAAGGCGTGAAGAGTACTGTGAAAAACGCGAGTGTGGATGAGGAGGTTAGGGCCCGTATTCGGTAACTTTGACATAAAAACGTTACGCTTTCAAAGCGGTGAGCGCAAGTAATCGATGATCAGCGAAACGCAAGGCAGTCGATTTTGGTATTCTCGTTGCCATGCGAATCGTGTTCTGGATACGCGTTGAGCACATATTGGCAAAATCACAATTTCTAATGTAGCTAATAGCATAGACAAACAAATAAAAAGAGACTGACAAATCCCAAAAGGTAAAGAGTGGGACCGCGTTCCCGTAGCGCAACTCAGAATAACAATTTTGAAACCAATTAGCAGGACCATGGCAGGACGTACGTCTTTATTGTTATCTTTCTTTAATATGTGTGCTTTATATGAAAAAGAAAGAGATAGGTATACTTTACTTTTACTTTTACTTTACTTTTTCGTATCCGGACCATATAGGTACATAATGTACAATTATAATTTAAAATTCTTTAGCCCAGTACCGGGCGACGTCTAAAGCATTTTCATCGGCGTTCCATAAATTTTCAAGGGTACATGTATGAGGGCATCTTATGCATGACAGCACATGCTCCATATTTTGGATTTCGCCGCATTCACATTTTGTGTCTTCATCCGTGATAAGTCCCCATTTCGCTTTGTTGGTTTTAACAGGCGCTACTCCTGTTCTGATGCGGTTTAGGGACTTCCACGTGACCCAATCAAGATGTTGGCCTGCAGAATCTTCTTCTCTAAGAGGATAATCAAGCGGTGGATCTTCTTGAACAGTTTTTAAAAAGTTTTTCCGAGATCGGAGTCTGCTTGATCCTTGGAACTCGCCAAAAAGCGGATGGCGCTCGTCGAACATCTGTTTAAACTTTTCAGTGTGTTCAGCCGCTTTGCGCCGCTGTGAGGGAGCTGCAAATCCGGAGGCTCTGTAAAGTTGAAATAAGCTTGTTGCTTTCATACACCCTGTTGTTATTCGGCACGTTTCATTTAAAGCAACATCAACTTGTTTGGCATGGCTCGATCTATTCCATACAGGACAGGCATATTCTCCCGTTGAAAAACATAAAGCCCGTGCAGTTGTTTTTAAGACAGATGGATTTGCGCCCCACTTGCTTCCAGTTAGCCTTCTCAAAATGTTATTTCTAGCGCTGACTTTCTGGCGAGTTTTCTGACAGTGGTACCTATATGTCAAGGTCCTGTCTAGTATCACTCCGAGATACTTCGGCTTTTCTGTATGCTCCAGCAAACTACCTCTCCACAAGATATTAAGCTTTGTTGCAGCGTCTCTATTGCGTAGGTGGAAAGCGGAAACCTGCGTCTTGGAAGGGTTGGGTTTAAGTGAGTTCCGGTCGTAGTAACTAGCCATTGTGTTAAGTGCACCTTCCAGTTTTTGTTCGACGCTGTGAAAGCTGGTATCTTGTACAGCTATTGCCAGGTCGTCAGCATAAAGAAAATGTTTTGAGTAGGCAGGGAGAGGTTGATCGTTGGTATATATATTAAATAGCATTGGCGCCAGGACGCTTCCTTGGGGCAGCCCATTCCTTTGAGTTCTCCATCTGCTCTTACTATTGTTCAGAGTGACACAAAAGCGTCGGTTCTGCATCATTGTCTCGATCACTTTTACCAGGTTATAATCCTTAATTGTAGCATATATTTTAGTTAGGAGGTGTTTATGAATGATGGTATCATATGCGGCGGTTAAA